ATATAAGACAATGACTAAAATAATCTCCCCCAATATATGCATGTTGGCATATGACTGAAAACTCTTATCCTTCTTGTTGGTCCAATTACCTAAACAAGGCTTGCTTCAAGTCGAGGGTTAGACTTTTAATTATATCCAATTGAGTGTTGAGGTCTCTCTGGCCTACCCTCATTGTGTAGCAGAACTGGACTCGGTTGATGGTCGGCGACCAGGTAGCTCAACTGGTAGAGCCTTTGTCTAGAGTTTTGAAGCCCCCGGGTTTGATCTCTAGTCTGGCTGTGCGTTTTCCCTCGCCTGTTACCAACCCTTGTTTCAAGTATTTGGTGTATGCTTGGCAAGAGGATACCCGCACCTGGGTTGTAAATAGTTGTCTTTGGCAGCGAAGACTTATATGTAGTGGAACTGGACTTGGTCGATTGTTGGTGACCAGGTAGTTCAGTTGGTTGAGCCTCTGTCTAGAGTTTAGAAGGTCCTGGGTTCCTGCATTTTTCCTCTCCTGTTACAATTATAACTTTAAAGGGGATACTTTTCTCATATATGGGATTAATGTTTAAATAAAAATGCTCTTCTTTTTACTGTAAATCTTATATTTATCCATTTAAAATTAAATTTCTTAGCCTGTGTTTCATCACATCACAATCACAATATTCTGCCCTATGTATTGGATTTGATGTTAAACATTCTTGAGTCGAAGTCTTGATGTTTCAAAATTTACCGGATAGTCCCGCAAAGTTTGAAGCATCAAAGTTTGATGGTAATAGATATTCTTGATATCGTCAGTGAATATCAGGTAGCCCTATGGGAGATAACTCTGTCAATGCTTATAAGGTTATCTGGAATAAGAATCTTCAAAACAAACTTATCATTTCTTACTAGAGTCTTTCTAGTTAATCCAGCAATATAAAAAAAGGAGAGAATATGAAACAAAGACAGTTTAAAAAAAAAAAATCTGCTTCTTTTAAAGCTATTTTTTATTAATAAAATATACTGACCTTCACAAGGATGTAAAGTATATCTTTATTATTTTATCAATAGGTAAAGATGACATTAGATGTGTTAAAACTATTTAACGTAATTTTGATTAAGCCTGTAAACCCAGCACAATGTTGTCATGGTCATGTTTTCCTATCGATAACTCTGCTACTATGGCCGGACTTGTGTATCCTTGTGGAATTTGTCTTCTTGGTAACACAGAGCTTAGCTGAGCTCTTTGCATGGATATTGGATCTCCCACCTGCACTCCCCGTATTTTCTTATTCTATATTTAAGGATTGATGTATGCATCTTTTAAACATTTACTCATTATATTTTCTCAAGTTTTAACCCCATACACATGATGCTGTGTAATTATGAGAAAACACTTACAACCAGTATCCACTCACATTACAGTATTAAGTACTATGTACTTACATTGTACACCGATATAGAGATCATCAGATTAACCAGTATTTTGAAGTCTCTCCTGAGTTGAGTGACTCAGCTTTTAGTAAACCACATTTGAAAGGAAATATTTCAACATGACTTCTCAAGAGATGTATGTTTAGTTATTTCCATTAACGATATTGGTGTCAAGGTCTCGGATGGATACATTATGGCGACACATTCAGATTTCTTGATCTAGATTGTAATATGTTAATGCAGGGAAGCATTAGTTTAACATAGATGTATATGGGTACAATTAAGATAAACATGATATATTTACGGAACGCCTATCTAACTTAATCAAAACCATGCATCATCAGTTAATTCTTATAGTAAAAGTACAATGGTTAACAAGGGCAAGCGAGATCTATTCCTGAGCTACAAATTTGTTTTAATATTTTCTTCTTTAGCCTGAATCACAATCAACTATGGTAGGCTGTTTGAATAGCTTTTCATCTATACATGTGGCTGAGCGTCAACGATCAGTCAGACAAATGTGTACAGTCCATCTGTAAACCATTTCTTTTACCAATTTTTCTGAGAAACTTCTTAAAGTATCATGATGAAACTTGATATCTGCGATTCTAGTTGTCCAAAGTTGTGCATGCTCCGATTTCAGCTGGATTAAAAAAGGGTTATTGTCACCATGATGGATAGAAACTCTAGCACAAGTCCATCCTCTGATTTTGTTGTTTAAATTGGCTGTACTATATTAGTTCAATTGAAATACACTAGATGATTGAATTGGATTGGAAAAATCAAAAACAAAATTCCACCCTCTCCTCAAATATATTCATACTTTCCCATATAAACACCTAGCCCCCCCCCCAATCTCACACCTCAATTCAAATCACTTTCTAGACTGTATACCTGCATCATGCTCCAGCCCCTCCTCAGCATATATACCATGACACATAAACTCAACACCTCCCAGCCCCCTCCTTACCCTATCCTTACGTATATAGTCTCAAATTCCCAAACCACCTCCTAGATCTGATCTGCCCCACCCCTCTCCTATTCCCAACCCGAGTTCACCCCCATATCTCAACATCCCCCCCCCCCCCTTGAACCCCATGGTATCGTCACACTCCCAAAATGAAATATCTTCCCCGCTGCTCTCACATCCACTAACATAACTTTACACTCACATATCACCTCCCCCCTCCACCCCCAACATATCCAGACATCCACATATAGCATGCGCACATTGTGCATACATGGTGCACACAGCTGTGCATTTAACAATCCTTCGCCCTGTTATGAGCTTCTCTGAGCACAACTGTGCAATTTAACAATTGTTCGCCCTGTTATGAGCTTCTCTCCGCACAAAGGTGCAATTTGGTACAATTAGTTGATCAATATTACAGAATGAGAAAAAAACCCAGAATGCTTGTACAGAATTAGGAACACGGTATACATAAATTTTTCATTATTTTATATATATAACTAATTAAATATTATGTTCAGTTTATCAATGCCTATTACAGTGACTGTTAGACTGTCAAGAATGGGTTTTGCTGCCAGGTAATGGAACAGGTAAACAACATTTTGTTGAGTTTTACCTGGCACCCTGTGCCTCATATAGAGAGCCAATATGTTTAAACATGAAACCGTATATATTGTTAAGCCATTCCTCAATTGACACAAACCA